TAGTTCACCTTCATCAAGAGACTCTTTAATTTGTCTTCACTTTCTGCTAGTAGGCTGGTCTCATCTGCATATCTGAGGTTATTGACATTTCTCCCAGCAATCTTGATTCCAGCTTCTGCTTCATCCAGGCTGGCATTTCGCATGATATACTCTGCATGGATGTTATATAAGCAAGGTGACTCCTTCCCCAATTTGGAACCAGTCCATTGTTCCATGCCTGATTTTAACTGTTGCTTCTTGACCTGCATACAGGTTTCTCAGGAGGAAGGTAAGGTGGTCTGGTATTCCCATTTCTTATTTTCCACAGTTTGTTGTAATCCACACAAAGCCTTTAGTGTACTAATGAAGCAGATGTCTTTCTGGAATTCTCTTGCTTTTTTTATGATCCAACAGATGTTCGCAATTTGATCTCTGGTTACTGCCATTTCTAAATCCAGCTTGTCCATCTGGAAGGTCTCAGTTCACATACTGTTGAAGCCTAGCTTGAAGAATTTTGAGCATTACCTTGCTAGTATGTGAAATGAGGGCAATTGTGTGGTAGTTTGAACATTCTTTGGCATTGCCCTTCTTTGGGATTGGAATGAAAACTGACCTCTTCCAGTCCTGTGGCCACTGCTGAGTTTTCCAAATTTGCTGGCATATTGAGTGCAGCACTTCCACAGCATCAATTTTTAGGATTTGTGATTCCATGGACTGTAGCATGCCAGGCTTCCCCGTCCTTCACTATTTCCCAGAGTTTGCTGAAATTCATGTCCATTGAGCCAGTGATGCCATCCAACCATCACATCCTTTGTCATTCCTTTTCCTCCTGCCTTTAATCCTTCCCAACATCAGGCTCTTTTACCTGGTGGGACACAAATGACAAATGTTTTCCCCCCAGTACCAGACACCTGTAAGGCAAATTCAAATCTCTGTGGCTTCCTCCTTTCTGGGATTTTCCCCCTTTGAAAATCTACCAAGGTATATGTTTGTGTACTTGTACCTTCACATGCTATATACATTAGTAATATTTTTTACAAGCAAAATGTGATTTCATGTTGGCACCCAGTTTAAAACCCCTCAGGGGATTTCTGATGGCCCCAGAGCAACCCAGATCGCCGCTCCAGCACCGCTCTTCTGACCATGACACCAGCCACAGAGGTTCACACGTAGACTCCCTAAATGAGATGATACCAGCTCTCACTCCTCCCTGTATCCCCATCTTCCTCCTTCTACATGGATGCCGCTGCTGGTTCCTCAAGCTTCAGTTTAAGGACCATCTCCCTGTAGGGGATTTTCCTGGCCACCAAACCCCTCCTCCGTCTTAGGTGCTGTTTGCTGTGTTCTCACAGTCACAAGGGGCCCCTCCCCAGCCTCCACCTCTGCAACAGCTCTCGTTACACCAGGTGCAGTGCCCAGTGAGCACCTGAATAGTGGGAACTGTATCTTCAACTTTAAATCCAGCCCCAGAGTAGTTCTGAGAATTTCCAAAATGAACAAAGCCCCTGACATCCTACCTGTTATGGTTAGTGCTTCTGGGGCAGCTTGCCCGCCAGATTCTGCCTGAGGCAGTTCCCCGAAGTTGGGGACCTAGAAAAGGCCTAAATGCTCTCCTGATAACCTAAAGAATCAGCTGCACCTGGACCCAGCTCCTCACTAGACAAGATGTTCAGGGAAAGTTCTTCCTCCTGTCCAGGCCTGTTGCTTGTGTCAGATGAAGGGGTAGAACTTCGAGCTCTAACCATCTACTCTTCCTAGACAGAAAAACTGAATGACAGACCAGGGGGTTTTAAAGAAGAAAAGGAAAAGTTTATTGTGTTGACCTTATTTTCATTACAGGACCAGAAATTCATTCTCAATTCATTTCAGGCGCAGAGGGCTCTGCAGACATTTAGTGCCCCAGTGCTTGCTCCAAAGCAAGGGGCAGCACCCAAACCTATGGTGCATTTCATAGAACATGATTACAATAAAATAGAAGAGTTACAAAGGGTTTTTTTTAAGTACATAGTTTCTTTAAAAATTCTAATATTTTTGTTTTTCCATGTTTACATTATTACCAAAACCAAGTGATTGGAAAACATGGTACTTGATATCCTTGTCTCAAATTGTTGACCTTAGGTTAATGTATTTTGCTATTTTCATTTTGAAGAGGAAGTATACCCATTTCTCTGAGGAAATCTAAAAGGTGACAAGTAAGGCGATGGATAAATTACAGGTGGGATGAAGGCTCTGCTTCATACCCTAATTCATGTCCTACTTAAACCTGCCACATTTGGCCTCTGTGCTGTGAGGTCACTGGAAAAGGCTCAGGGGATGGCCTTACTTCTGGACTACCTCTGAAGCTGATTTCCTGATTTGTTTTTAAAAAATTGTCAGCACTCATAACACCCTGACAAGGAGAGATCCTCCAGTCAGTGCACTGACTCATTGCCACCCAAAAGTCGTTTCTGCATTAGATTGAGAGATCAAAGACCAAATAATGAAAGAGGAACTGGTACTTTCCAGATACTCTGAAACAGCAATGACAACCTGAGTTAATGATGTCTACATTTGGTGAACTCTGTCAGGTTAAAGATCTTTCCTCACTATATCAAGACTGAGAAAATAGGAATTTAAATTAAAAAGCTTATCCCACCAGACTAGATACTTAACAGCAATATTCAAGTTGATTAACCCACAAAAATGTCCCCATAAAATCAAATATTTAAAAAACTAATTATTAAAATTACACAAAGGAATATATAAATAACTTTGCACACAATGCACCCTCCACTTGTTGTTACCAAGAGAAATTTTTCATTACATATCTTTACCAAAACTTTAATATTTCCATGAAATTTGATACAACAGTACTAACATCATTTTATTCAGAAAAACACACTAGATGTTCCCTTGGAACTCTTGCATTGAATCACTTCTTTTAACCATTCATGACAATTGTAGGGGGAAAAAAACTGCTTTCAAGTACCTAAATTTACTGACGAGGCAGGTGTGGGGGAAGAGGAATCGTTCTTGTTGTGAGGGTGGTGTCTGGCTGGCTCCATGTCACAGTGTCAGTATGATGTAATTCCCAGCCAAAGGAAATAGATTTTCCTTCCTCCCAGTCTCTTCTGGAAACTGCACTGTTGTCCCTAGCCATCAAGGACTCTGCAACCAGATAATCATTGTTTATTCCATCAGAATCTTAAGAAGGTTCGTAATAGGAAGTCGTGAGGACAGCAGAAGAAACTAAGCTCCATTCTTAGAACTGCTTCTTAATGTTTATAAAACCTTTGCTTTCCCCAGAGAGCTGAGTTCACAAAATACATGGGCTTACCAGATGTGTGTGCACTCTGAAATGCCATTGAGAGAGATTCCACGCTTTATCAATTGTATGGAAAACTAACATACCATCATTCTCAATGTGCTATAGATAGAGGACCATTTTAAAACAAAACACAGGCATGCCCCAACAGCAGATTGTGTTACACACATTTTGACCTCAATCAAATATCACTGTTCACAGAACATCAGAAGTCACGCTGTTGCATTTCATTCTGACATGTCACGTTATTTCGTATCACTCTGGCACTGATTAAGACAAGTTTTCTATTATGGCATGATGAAAGAAAAAAATTCATTACATATACATGATGGTTAAAAACAACACCCTGTGAACAGTTTCCAGAAGCTTCGACTTTTCAGTGAAATCAATTCATGTTTCTTAGGAAAAAAATCTACCAATCTTTTCAGTCACAATTTGCTTTCATACAGTAGAAACAGCAGACAAAGCTGACCAAGACCAAATTTTAGTGGCAGCATCATTTCCTAGGTTGCTAGAGATTCGTTTTGGAAGATCTTATGCCACATGAACCAAGAATTCCTGGCATGAGGAGGAGGGTCTGAGGCCATCTCAGAAGCAAGCTGGGTCTTGCATATTTAGATTCAACTATCAATAAGACTTAAATCCAGGGTGGTAAGGGGCAATGAAAATACACACTGCACAGAGAATAGATTTCACACTGTACCTTCCTCATACAGAATACGCATGAGAGACCAGGCAAAAAGATGTGGAAAGGTGCCCTGTTCCATGTCCCAAGGGAACCAGCATTTAGAAGGCATATCCCAGTGACTTTAGTTATTTCCTGCTCAATATCCCAGAAAATAAACTGGGAAAAAGCACAACTGTGCCCATGGTTTATAGACACAAGTGGTGGCGGCAGCAGCTTCTCTGAAGGCTTAATTAAACCTCAGACGAAGCTGAGCAAATACCTTTCATCCTCATTGATTCTATCCCTTTAGCTGCTACTACTAGTAGAGGAGCGGTGTTGGGGGGTGGGGGGGGGGG